ATCAAATTGGTGTTAAACAGGATCTGATTTGGAGTTACTTGGATACGTGGATAGGAGATCTCAGTTAATAACAATTTAACATATCATATACAATCCAATAGATAAAAACAAGCAGATGAAAAACTTTTCACGTCTTTGAGGGCGCACACATCGGATTCAGGGAAAGAAACACCAACACGTTTGCCAAGATAAATAAAACGTTACCAAAACATGTTGATTTAATGCAAACCAAGAGTGAGGCATAACTGAAATACCACTCAAAGTATATCTGACACAAATATACTTGGAAATGTCAAAAAGAATAAACACTAATGATCCTGTTTGTGTTAGTTTGACTGTGTTGACAGACATTTCACACCCTCTTTCATTCAGAGGTTTTCACCTTTGTTGCCACTAGGTTCCTCTAGCTCGCTCCGAGGGAAACCTCCTGGAGCTGATGGAGAGCGTGTGTGAGAGGATGGAGGACTACGGCGAGCACGCGGATTCCTCAACGAACAGGAAGTCCTACATTAGGATCAAGTCTCGGAGTGGTGAGCCCATGGACCTCTCAGAAGCCACGCTGGATTCAAGAGTTACATCCAGTTTAAAGTTTGCAGTGAGTATAGTTTTTAGTTAACTTTGCCAAAAGATAGACAGTTTGCTGTGTCAGCTTTACATCATTGGGCTTAGATGGTCTTGAATTTATTGTACAATATTTGTGTATTATTTCCTCCAGTGTGTTTTCTCTATAGTGAGTTTTTCCCCTTCTAACGGTTCATTGTGACTAATTTCTCCAGTGTGAAACAATCGCTGAGCAGAATGAAGATGAAATCATTGAATTCTTCGCTCATGAGACAGAAAATGTTAAAGACAAACTCTGCAGCAAGAGGACCGGTAGGTTTTCAGCTCATTATCATCCTGTCACACCCTTCAGTTATGTGGACCTACTGCAGCAACTGTATTTGAATCATTTGTTTTCTGGTGCTCTGCAGATCTCTGCGATCACGCTCTGAAAATGCCCCATGACGAACTTTGATGTCACTTCGCCATGACTGCCGTCTCTCCTCAGCTGAAAGAGAGACACGGTGCTGTGATGTTGTCACTGGTTCACACATTGGCAGTGACATGGCATGACAAGTGTGTGTACAAATCCTTAAAATCTGTAAAATATTAGAACATCCACATTAAAACAAAGTGTATTTCCTGTAACCATGGAGAATTCAAGGACCACTTGACCAATTTTTTACCCACATCTCTTTTGGACCATAGACTGTATGTAAAGATGGAAGACACCGATACACTTCCTCCCACTATCCAGAAATTACAAAATGCTTCGGCTTTACTTCTGGGGAGCTGTCATGTCGTCTATCTTTATATAAAGTCTATACTCCTGTCATGAATTTATATGCTTTAAGAAATGACACGTTTCAAATTACTATTCCTCTTATGGAGGCACTTGTCACATCTTCACTTGTCACAAAACTGAAACTGTAAAACTTCAAAAATTGAAGTCAGACTTCCAAGGAGTTACATGATTTTTAAGATAAGTACATAGATGAGGTTTAAAATGGTTGAGTGGTCCTCAAGTCAATATTTGTGCACACTGAAAAAAATCTCATCAAAACTACAGAGTGGTATTTTGATGCTAATAGTCACTGACCACACAAGTGTTGTATGACTCGGGTTTATCCTTATTAGAGAGTTTTTAGTTATCAACATTTATTTAACTTTCTGTAATCACAAGAATAACTCATGACCGTTTTTTGGATTAAGAAAAAAAATTAAGAGCACAAATAACGAGGTTTATAATTTAAGATCAGGAAGGAAAATGATTCTCAGATTTTTGTTTCACTGTTGGGCAGATGAGAGAATGTGCCTTGATTGGAGAACAAATGTTTCCCCGGTGCTACACTACTAAAATGGCCGATCCTTCTTATTCATTAGAAGAACCTCAGTGTTGATGATGTTGTGAAGTTATTATAATTAATTAACTGATCATACATTTTCCAATAGAGGAATTGGCTACTGAAGATTAACTGAAAATCTGAATGAAAGAAAAAGTCATGGAAAAACTTAAGTGAACAGTTTGTGTAATTATATGATTTTAAACTTAACTTTGAAGCCACTTAAGGCCTAAACACTGTACATCACTACCAGAGGCTCTTATTTTTTGTCCTTTAATGGTCAAAAATCACATGGAATCTTCTTGGATTAAAGTAAATTAAATACTGTTGTGTAAAGGCTGAAATGTTGCAAAGAGTTGGGTTTAATAGTAACAACTAATTATAAAATCTCTTCTCTCTCGTGTTGCCCTTTAAATCAAAAGATTTTTTTTCTAAAAGGCATTAATTGGAATAAGGTTGTCATTCATAGCTTCTGATGATGAAATGATTTGTCTTATTTTCTCTGAACTCTAAACCAGCTAGCATTATGATACTTCATGGGTTTCATTTTACCTCTGAGAGACCAATGTTAAGTTTTCCTTTGTCTAGTAAACTCTAATGTAATTTCAGTAGTGTTCTATCATCCACAATCTGATCATAGTTCCTGATTAAGAATCATTCTGTACTGTCAATGCAGGAGATATATTTGGTTTCATTAATTTCCCAGTGTGTGAAAAATGTAACCTGCTGTGTCATGAGCATTCTCTTGAAATTTTTATATATAAATTTTGTACGTTTTCTGCATCTGTTGTCTTCAATCAATTTAAATATATTTGTACATCAAAATGAGCCTTGTATCTAAATTCTTCAGTCACACATCCATACCAAGGTGACATCATTGAAGGGCTTTGCTGCCCCATGAATCTATCAGGATAATGTCAGTTTCTCAACAACACTTAATGTTTGTCTACAGAAGGATTTAAAACAGAGGGGATCTGAACTGAGCTCAGAGCTGTTCATATCAGACAAAATCAGAACATGGCTGAGCTGAAGCAGTTTCTTCCTGATTTACTCATTTAAGGTCATTGATGCCATATTAGGATAGACTTAAATCCAATTCACTTTTCCCACCAGCACTGGGAATATTTAATGGGTGTGTTTAGTTACGACATGAAAGATTAGAATTGTATGTGTGTTCTAAGCTTAGGCACATTTTGTCTACACTTGTGACTTAGATTGAGATCAGTTCACATTTTATGAACAATTAATGCAGAAAATCAGTTAATTCCAAAGGATTAACATTCTTGTGTTTGCCAATGAATAACCTGCAGTGAACTGACATTTTGCTGTGAAATATCAAGACCCAATTCTGACATCATGCATGAATGTGTTCCTATTGCATTATACAAAGATTTCAAGGTATTTCCATCCGTTATATTAAACAAAAAATGAGCTAAGATTTTGATAACTTGACATCAATTTGACATCATTGTGATCAGCCACTTTTTCAATCACAAATTTTCACAGAATCATTGTTTCACTACATTCACATGTTTTGAACAAAGTTTACCGAGGAGGGGACTCGTACAGTCCAGTCCCTCTTTATTGCATCATATTTGTATTTTGAAAAGAGAAGAGGAAAGTATATATTATTAATATTAATTATAAATTAAGTGATTTCCAAAATGTCTTACATTGTGAAGCTGTTTAAAGAAAGTTTTTTTATTTTAGAACACACAATCTTCACAGCATTTCAATGTATAACAATGGTTTTCTCACCACACTTTGAAATCACTCCAAATAATGACATAGTTTATAGTATTCATTTCCATAATCTTGTGACTGCATTCATATGGAAAACATTTTTACAATGGCACTAAAAACACATTTAGATTTTTTTTTTTCAAACAATTTTTTTAAAATATATTTGTAGAGCTGATTGTGAATATTTAAGTTTTTAGACTAGATTTCTCCTCTGTCAAATTCCCTCATTTCTCTCACAGTGAAAGCATCACAGATCAGCCAAACAATAAAAACCATGACATTACACTGAAAAAATACTTTTCATTGAAAGCAAATTAGATGCTTTTTTATTTATCTATCTTTTATTTAACTTTATTTAACAGTCTTGTTAAACACACCGAGTCAGTTTTCTTGGGTTGTGTTACTAACTCACTTTGCTACACTACAGCTGTACAGTGTCGACCTGTGTGACCTCTGAGGGGGGGAAATCCTCCTCCTCTACTTCTTCCTGCTCCATTTCTGTTATTTTCATGGCTTTAACTGTTATAGTCTCCCCCTCAGCAGAGCACTCCCCACTCAGGCACAATTGTGTTTTGTCTCCCTCGATAAGCTCTTCCGCTCCCTCATCATCATCTGCAGTCTCATCTTTTACTTCACTACAGCAGCATCGCTCTCCTTCAGCCATGGGAATCCTTTTGTCACTCTCTGTCTTGCTTTCTGTCACGGCACCAGGTGGCATTTCCTCAATTTCATCCTCTTCTGCTACAATAATCGTATCTCCAGAGCTGTGGCTGCTGTTGCTGCTGCAGGAAAGTGTGTCTTCTTCAGCACGCATGCTTGACTCTTCATCACATGAGTCCTGCTCTACATCCACAAAACTTCCTGTTGAAACCTCACATCGCCCTTTGTTATCAAAGATCACCGTCCCAGAGTTCATAACAAACACCACATCTAGGCAACCCAAATCTCCCCCTGTGCTCTCTGGATCCCACTGCTCGCTCACTTCCTCCTCTTCATTCTCAGAGTCAGGTGCTGTATGTTTTCGAATGCGATTTACAGCGTCCCACAGGGACTTGGGATATTGGAGCGCTTTGTGGGGTTGGTCAAAGGAAACATCTTCAACTCCCTCATGAGGGGGAGTAGAAGTGAGGGGAGCCTGATTTTGGGCCGATTCTTCGATAGAGGAAGATGAAAGCTGAGGGGATTCTTCACAAGAGTCCAAGTGAAGAGCAGGTGAAACAGTTTCAGGGAGGCCAACATCAGCAGTGACAGGATTTAGAGCTGACTCCACTTCCAGAGGAGACCTGGGCTCTGTGTTTGACTTGTGTGATGCATGTGGTGAAGAGGGAAGCTCTGAGGGTAAGAGCACATCTGGAGGTGACTGAGACACCCTGGAGTCTGAAGTTGATGGGGAAGTAAAGCCAGAAGGTTCAGTTCCAGCTTCAACATCCTGCAACATTTCAATTTCAATTTCTGCTCGAGTCTGATTGTCGGTAGCATTTTTGTGGGATATCGATGGTTCCTCATCCACATCTATTTGTAATGCATCTCCAGTCATAGGACTCATCACACAAGAAACATTCATATATTGTTCCTGCACAATTTTTGCTTCTTCTTGACTTTCACTGTCAGTCATATTGTCTTTGAGTATTTCAGAAGTCTGTACTAAGAGGTCTGTATATTCACTGTTATCTTTTAGTAATTGCTCTGCAGTCATATAGCTCTCTGTTCCATAGGAAGCGTCCTCATGACCAACATTTTCAAATTTTTGCGGCAAAATTTCAACCTCCGCTTGACTTTGATCGGCTGTCATGTTTTCTTGCGATTTTGTCATTTCCAAAAGCTCTGCTGGATCCTCACCGGCTTGTTCTTGTTGTTGCTCATCAGTCAAATGACTTTCTTCAATATAAGCACATTCTTCTGCTTGTACACACAGAGATTGCTGCTGCAAAATGTTAGACTCTGCAGTCATATAGCTCTCTGTTCCATAGGAAGTGTCCTCTTGACCATTATCAAATTGTTGCGGCAAAATTTCAACTTCAGCTTGACTTTGATTGGCTGCTATGTTTTCTTGCGATACTGTAATTTCCAAAAGCTCTGCTGGATCCTCACCGGTTTGTTCTTGTTGTTGCTCATCAGTCAAATGACTTTCTTCAATAYAAGCACATTCTTCTGCTTGTACACACAGAGATTGCTGCTGCAAAATGTTAGACTCTGCAGTCATATAGCTCTCTGTTCCATAGGAAGTGTCCTCTTGACCATTATCAAATTGTTGCGGCAAAATTTCAACTTCAGCTTGACTTTGATTGGCTGCTATGTTTTCTTGCGATACTGTAATTTCCAAAAGCTCTGCTGGATCCTCACCGGTTTGTTCTTGTTGTTGCTCATCAGTCAAATGACTTTCTTCAATAYAAGCACATTCTTCTGCTTGTACACACAGAGATTGCTGCTGCAAAATGTTAGACTCTGCAGTCATATAGCTCTCTGTTCCATAGGAAGTGTCCTCTTGACCATTATCAAATTGTTGCGGCAAAATTTCAACTTCAGCTTGACTTTGATTGGCTGCTATGTTTTCTTGCGATACTGTAATTTCCAAAAGCTCTGCTGGATCCTCACCGGTTTGTTCTTGTTGTTGCTCATCAGTCACATGACTTTCTTTAATACAAGCACATTCTTCTGCTTGTACACACAGAGATTGCTGCTGCAAAATGTTAGACTCTGCAGCATTTTGTCTGGACATTTCAAGACACTGTTCCAAAATGTCTGTAATTTCCCTATCCACTTCTTTTGCTTGTTGCTTATCAGTGCTGTTGCTCTCTTCTACACAAGGAGCATTGTGTGGTTGCTCATATTCAAGTCGTTGCTGATCCCCAAGGGCCTCAAGGTCACTCGTGTCATTGGTTACTAGCTGCAAGGTGTCACCCTCCTCATCATGATCCTCAATGCTGGACATCGTTTCTGGCACTTGATCTATTAAATCAGGAGGAGGAGAAGGACTTGGGGAATGACATCTATGGGGAGTGGAGCTTGGAGAAGATTCGGTAGGTGCAGGGGGGAGAGGAGATGGCTGTTGCGATGGTGCATCAGGAAGGGATGAGGTTTCAGGATGAGGAACAAGGTTTTCAGTGGTGCAGAATGCAGCCAACTGAGGATTTAGACCTTTCTCTGTGGATGACTGTGAGAAAGATGATGAGAGAGAAGTAAGGTTAGGGTGTGGAAGCAAACAATAATCAGAAAGATCTTTGCATGGACTGAAACACTGAGAGAGATGTTGAGATGGGTCATTTTCAACTGGTGAATCTTCTGCCTGACTCTGCTCAGTCATACTGTCTTCATGAGTTTGTTCAAACAGATTTTCCTCAGCCATTTCATCTTCCTGTGCTGTTTTGATGTTAGTTTCAAGTTGGGACTCAGTGTCCCTCTCCTCAGACATATCAGAGACCTGCCGCTGAAGTACTACAAAATGCTTCCCATCTTCATTTTGAGCCTGATCCTCCTCTTCATAACTCTCTTGCAAATCAACACTATCCTGAACTTGATCCATTTCTAGGTGATTCTGGAACCGTTCCTCATCTTGTGTGTCCTGTAGGAGTTGTTCAGTTGCATCATGAATGTCTGCTATTGGAGAAGGTTCCACCTCCTCATCACACTTCTCAACACACGAGTCAATAAGAGATGTAGCATCTTGTTGTTCCTCAGTGATGCACTCATGTAGAGGGATACCTAGGATCCTTTCAGCACGCTCCTGCAAGGTTTCCCTTTCAGAAATGGAAGATGAAGACGTGCAGGCTAAAGAGATGTCACCTCCTCCCTCAGGTTCCTCTTCCTCCTCAACATCTGACTCTGTTTCAATCTCAGCCCTGTCATTTATCTGCAAGGGGTTTGGAAGCACATCCTGATTCAGCTGAGAGTTTGATTCAGCAGAGGTGCTCGACTGACTATCGAGTGGACTGTCATCTGTGTGTTTTGCGGAGCCTAAATAGTGAACATGATCTTTCTTCGGTGATGGAATCAGCTCCATTTTGACAACAACACATGTTGTGTCGATGACGAGTAGACCCTTCGTGTCCTCGGACTGTGTGTCTTTCTTGATGTCTAGTGTTCTTACTTCGACATTGACTGGATGAACTGGAGCACACTCTCCTAGGTTGTGTGCATCATCTGATTCTACTTCCTCGCTGTTTGCTTTCAAAACTGTGGAAGAACTGTCTGTTTCCGCCCTGCTTGTGAAACTTGGCTCCCTCCACAAAGGATATTTAACTGACACAGGGTGCACTGGCTGAGTAACCTGTCTCCCAAAAGTAGAATTTGCATCGTTTAAATTATTATTTTCTCCTGTCTTTGTTTTCTTTGACAGATTATCACTAAACATCTCACTTTCTATGCAGGCAGATGTCGCCTTCTGTTTGGCTTTGACATTTCTTCCATCAGAAGTATTTGACTGCTCTGTGAGTGTTGGCACTATGAAGTCTACTTCATCTGCAAGCTTTTGTGTTTGATACATGTCACCATTGTCCCTTGGATCTTTACAACGTTCTCCAAATTCTGTGCTTTGAATGTTTCCTTGGGAAGTGCAAAGTGGCAAGGATGGGGTTTCTGTGGTGCCAGAAATTCGTGAAACCAGGCAGAATATGGTCAGCCCTCCGGTCTTTTTATTTAATCTGAACTTTCTCCCTTCAATGACCTTTGAGGATGTTTGCTCATTTGTCTTTGTGTCCTGAACTGCTTGTATCAATTGTGGCTGCTGCAGAGATGACATACACTCATGTTGCATGTGTGAACTCTGGACACTGAAAGGAATGCCTCCTTGTACAGCAACTGTTCCTGGTCCTCTTTGCTCAAGTCTTTCCAGCTCTGCACAGATTTCATTCACATCTGGTTTTGTAAAGTCCTCTTTCCCTACCTTCCTCTTATCCTGCACATCTACACATGCATCCTCTTTTCTGAGAGTGGGCTGTGACCAGTAGTGTTGTTGCATCCCTTTCTGCCCACAGCTGGTGTCACAATGGTGGATTACAGGTGAGCTTTTATGTGGGCTGTCATAGGGAGGAGGAGCAATATATCCAGGAGGTTGGCTAAACACCCTTCTTTGGTAGCCTGTCTGCTCTTTACTGTCCAACATGTGCTTTGTGTCATTGACAGGAGCTTGTAGTGGATAATAGTTTGGAGTTTGCAGTCTGCCTCCTCTGTCCCACGCTCCGGATTCTCTGATGCTGGCAGATTGTCTGACTTGTTGCAGCACCGCCACCTGAGGATCTGTCACACTCCTCCTCTCTGGAGCCCTGCTGCTCTCCAACAGGACATGAGATGTGCCCCTCAATTCTGCCTCTCTGTTTCTCCTCCTCGGAAGTGAATGGCTATATCGAGCTGCCCAGGCCTCTAGCTCACGGTAGCTGCTGTCGCTCCTCTTAGTGGACACTTCTCTGTTGTAGCGAACAGGATTAGAGGGCTCCCATCTCCCCTGCCATCCCTCCCTCAGAAATCCCCTATCGTATTCCCTCGCCACTCTTTGATCTGATATCCACTCTCGGCCTCTGGCTTCATGTGGCTGATACTCTCCCAGGCCCTGGTGCTGCCGGGTATGCCGATCCAGAATAAAAGGGAAGTGGGAAGAAGTTTGGGCAGAAAGCTCTGGGTTCGTCCAGTTGGTGTAGTCGTGTAGACCCCCACCTGTTCTTGATCCTGGTACAGTCCAGTAACTAGCCTCCCTGCCTTGATCCTGCTGCGTTCCATAGTAAAAGGGAGAATGGGTTGCATGATGTCTGTCATGATAACTGTGGAAAAAAAATATGCATTTATTCGAAATTGTTCAAAAAGTGTCAATTTATCTGTCTTCATGAAAAACTGAAGACAAACTTTGGGTAAAAGTAATTAGTTTACTTCTAAGTAACTTTTATGAGCTCTGCAATCACTTTACTATCTGTTATTTAACAAGTGACATTAATGTGTGACACCGTGACATGTTATTGAGCAAATACTTTCATAGCAAGTTAAGTATACTGTAGGCTACAATCAAGTATAATTATATTTATTATATTATACAAGTGTGCAATTATATTTGTACAAGCAATGGAAAAATAGACAACTTTTATTATCTAAAAAAATATCTGGAAGAAGCAGTTTTCATAGAACAAAACTCACTTATGTGTACAATTTCTCCCAGGTACAGTTCCAAATTTAGCATAGAGAGATGATTGTCCCTGATGCTCGGGCCAGAATTCCATCATTTGGTTTGATACAGAGATCTGAAATATTCAAAAGAAAAAAAATCTTAGATATTTTTTATTATATATTAATTGTAATTGCATATGAACAAATCTAAAATCAGATGTAAAGAATGTATTATATAATATATTAACATGAGAACGTCAAAGGTTTAATTCAATTTTAACACTAATTAAACAAATTAGACATTTAAACAAAGTAAATACATAAATAAAGAGATAAATGCACACATGCAACACGTACCTTTTAGCTGCTGTTTTCAGATTATTGTCCTCAGTGCTCATGAGGGTGCATGAGGTCTAATGAAGTCAAACAGGACAAAGGTTTAAAAGGATGATGGTTTTTATCCCCCTCCCACTTCACACACACACACACGCACACACGCACACACACACGCACACGCACACACACACACACACACACACGCTAAGTCCATCCTCCTTTAGCCAACATGCTCAGTTTAAATAGCACAGAGGAATGTTTAATCTTGTTTTTAGAGATACTATCTTAAACATCCTTCCCATCTGAAGTAAAGGCAGAATAAGAATCTGAATTTTCTTATATGTATAAAAGTAATACACCATATAACACATGTATTCAGTTCTAAAGTAGACTGTGAAATTTAACAAGCAGTTACACTCATGTTGTTGCCATTACAGTTTTGTGACAACCCTATTGTCTAGTGTTTAATATTTTTGTCATGTTTACAACAATAATAGTATATTTCACATCTGAATAAGTCACTAAGTCGCTGCTCACAGCAACACTAACTACTTTTAAAATGAAAAAACTCATTATAAACTCAATAAATAATATTTAAATTGTAAATTATAGTTGTTTGGATGTGTTCTTCTAAATCAAATGGCACTCTGGTCAAAACAGTTTTCCATAACTTTACCAAAATGGCCGAATGTCAACAATACCATTGATCTACACTGTGCGTGGCACTCGCGTGGGAGGTGCTGGGCGTGATGGCGAGCAGACTCTCCATGGAGATAGGGATCTGTTGTTTTGTCGGCTGAATTGTAGTGGAGTGAGAGACGGGCAGCGGACGGGTTGTCTCCCTTTCTTTGAAACTCTCCAGCGTAACAAACAGGCTTTCCTTTTCTGAACAGAAAGTCTGTACATCAGCAGAGAGCAGGAGAGAGGGGATGAAGTACGTTCAGACAGCAGGCTGCAGGGACGACAATATGTTGATGTTGCCATAATAGTGGGAGGGCATGGGATGAAACTTGTTTGGGGTTTTATATATCTTCATACAAAAATGCTGAAGGAATGTGCTGATTATGAATGACTCATGTACCAGGTTTATTTTTTTAATCATATATCAGGTTTAGTCTTGTTTTTTTATGATTAGGATGGAATAACTTATAATAACTCTTTCCAAACCAAATCTCTTCTGTTTTTCTTTTACAAAAGAGCCCCCCCCCCCCATGTAAATATAAAGACTTTAAATATAAAGGGCCCATTCTATGGTAAAGAAAACAACAATTCATACAATTTAGATGAAACACCAGTGAAAACATAACTAGGATTATTTTATATTCAAGTTCTGCCAAAAATCCCTTTCACCTAAATCTTACACACTGAACATTTAAGGAGAACATCAATCAGTAGGGTGCAATTTGCTGCCAAAGAATCTATACTCTAGCAGCTTCCTGTGGCAGAATGTCTTCACTGCTACTTAAAAAACCATATCCAAGGAACCAGAGACATAACTTTTCAGTACAGTAACTGGTCCCAAGCCTGTAGATGACTGTCCTTGCTTTCACTGATCTGTCCTTAGAGATGCCTTGTAGATATTAATGTTTCGTTTGTCATCACGTTGCACAAGCTCCACATTAAATCTGCTCGGCAGACACTGCTCGTAGAAAAATTCAGTCTTATGCTCTTTTCTCATCTTGGACGAGGAATAAACAACAGCACCGTTCTTGCACAAGTAAGTTAGAGTCTCCAAAAGCAGTGGATACGTCTCTGGGAGGTAAATTATATCTGAACATAACACCAGATCCCAGTCAGACGGAAAGTTCATGTGGTCCTCACCCCAGGACAGAGGGAGGACGGTAGGAGGAGAAGAAGGCCAACCACTGGATGGCATGTTCAATGAGACGTTGGCCTGGAGCTGTGTGACAGCCAGAGGAAGGTCTGTGAGAGTCATGGTTGCACCTGAAACAACATGAAAATTGATTTCCAGTGTGTTGCTCATGAAACACTCAACTCAAGATCACAGGAAATTCTATGTTTATTTATTATAATAATGCACATTAACTAACAAGCATTCTTAAGTCCAACATGTGAATGTGCCAGATTCAGCCATAAATCTACAGTCTCTGGCAGGTTAATGCTGAAACACATACAAATAACATAATAAGTAATAGTCAAATACATTTTGCACACAATGCAAAAATCTGTAATGTGCACAAAAAATCTCAAACTAATTCTAAAAAAACTATGGCTGACAGCACAAAGATGGATGACATGTCTCCACTTCGTCCCACCATCCAGACATTAAGTCAAAAAATTGCAGATACGAACACGACCATCTTTCTTATTTGGAGTCTGTCAAGTGGTGATCGAGAGAATGAGCCACAGTCGCTTATGTCCCACTGATAAACACAGTCGACCAATCATTCAGTCCCAGCTGTCTATCATGACGTTTTCGCCCCATTTTTATAGCATAAAATAAATAATTGAAACAAAAGGTCTAATGAACACACAAACATCAGCATGATAAAAACTACTTGAAATGAAAGACACCATCTTTCAGAGAGTGTTTTTGATGTGTACTTAGATCTTTTTGTTTGGTCCATGTCCCATCACTAACATGGATGAGGCAGGATTTAGAACCTATACTGCAGCCAGTCACCAGGGGGCAATCTAGACACTTTTGCACCACTTTTAGGGAGCTGTCATGTCAAACTCCTTTTTGTAAAACTACTAATCAGTTTTTAAGTGTTTTTTTCCCCACACAAGTACTACATGTCATACTGCTTATCATTTTAAATGTTTATTCCACCCAAATACTACTTTCTGTCAAACATCCATTCTCATTTTAGAGATAAAGAAGGCACTAACACTGTGAGTGTCTGATGGAGGCAGTAGTGAGCTACACGGACTGAAGGAGTACACGTGGACCACGTGTACTAGACAACATGAGGATCGCCTCTCGTGTGCACATACAAACAGTTTCAGTGAAGCTTCAGGACTTTATTTAAACAACGATCCATGAACATACCGAGACGAGCAGCCAGAATACCGACCACTCCTGTCCCTGCTCCCAGCTCGATGACGCGCTGTCCCCGCAGCTCCACTCTCTGCTCCTCCATGTACCGACACAGGTGTAACGCCTGTGTGCACACAAACACACCGTGATCACCACACGAACACACCGTGATCACCACACGAACACACCGTGATCACCACACAACCCTCCAGCTCACTGGTTGATTGTGATACAGTTTAAACTGCGGGTGACTTACAGATTTCCAGACCGGGGCAGCGACTCCGAGGTTGCCACCGAACACCTGTTTTATCTTCAGCTCCTCGCCCCACAAAGTGAACACGCTCTCCTGACTGAACGTGTCCGCGAACAGGCAGTCATCCACGGGGAACGAGTACTCCTCGTCCCCGCTACAAGTCATGGTAGGTGGTGGGTGAAGTCTGTTAACTAACTTTCTTAAAGTCTGCGGTGTTTACGTCCACTGGGCTTCTTCTTCCGGGTCACGTGAGCTAAACCACGTCTCCTTCACATACAGTGAGTTTCACTGCTTTTGTACACAACTAATGCGAGGTCGGAATAAAATGGGTAAGAATGTATATATTTTTTATTTCATTAATACTCATGAACAAGTTATTCCATTTATCTTAACTTTATTTAACTGTAGCTATAAGGTTAGCCTTGTAACAGAGGATTAATTCATTACTCACACTCTCTCAACCTTCACTTTAAACCAATTACAGTCCGAGACAGAGTTAAAAAATGATATTATACTTAAATGTTCATTAAAACAAAATGTATTCACGTGTTGGCGAAATGCAAGAATTTCCGAGGCTTTTAATTTGAAAAGTAGCACAACCACACGTCAGTTTCCGGGTCAGACAGCCTGTCAAACACAAACACCATGAAATGTGTTTCTGTGTAAAAGCTCAACAGTCGTAAATCATTTGGTGATGGAGGGAAGTAATATCATTTTCTGGATCTATCATATTCACCTCTATGCATATACTGCTGGTGTTATCTGGGGGACAATCTAGAATCAATAATAAATATTTGTACATATTCATATCTAAGGTATTTTACTGATACATTACTACGTGGCTCATGCTTCACTGTAATCAGTGTTATTCTGAATAACAATTACATCTCAAATGTTCATATAATGAGAAACGTGGTCACTGTTGTCTATCAGTAGTTTAAGCTGCACATCAGTTCCTGCTCTCAGTTAACGTGTATGATAAAATGTCAGTATATAGGAAACATGCTCATTGCTCTTCCTTGGAGCCAAGATGGTTTTCAGATTTTTTAGTTAAACCAAGTCAAAAACCAACATATGCGATTTACGGTTATAGAGAAATGCTGGAGACCAGATGTTCACATCTTATAAGCAACAAACATTGTTTAACTTTTGTGCTTTAAAAATCACCATCCTCTTATCAAAATACTTGAAAATATTTTGTCCATTAATTGTTTCAGCTGCAGGGAAAAATTGCATATTGCCCACTCTGTCTAAAAAAGTAACTTGGAGCTGATAATCTCCATGTTTTTACAGCCAGAGTAGGTAGCATATGTATGTATGCATGCATGTATGTGTATGTATGCATGTGTATGTATGTATATATATATATATATTTCTTTGCATCAATGCTGTGATTCAAAACACAAAAACACACCATGTTCCAGGTTTATTTTAAAAAAGCTGCTGTCTCTTTGCCAGTTTTGTTTGGAAAAACAAAACTTGAGTGGAGTTCCACTAGGACATAACCATTTTTTCTCACACACACACATTTCACATCAATGACAAAGATGGATGAACAGGTGTATAAACTGTACTGCACAGATATGTCAAATGTCAGCTCTTCATCATTTCAGCTAAACAGTCTTCATATAACACAAGACATTTCCAACAGAGCCAACTAAAGTATGTCATGTCCAGTCTGAAAAGAAAAAGACGAAAACATCCCCCATAATGCTGTCTTTATATGTCGGCTTGTGCTGGAAGTCATCACATTTTCCTCAGTGGGGTGGGACAATAACAGTTAGGTTCAGACACACTTTTACCCAATATACAGTAATTCTGCCTGGAACCGAACACATATTAACCTCTGGATTATTTGAAGTTATTAAAAATAAATAATGCAATCATTCTTCTTTTTTCATTATACAGATACCAGTAGTATTACATCCATAACACCCCCTCTCCTCCCGCCAGGCCTCAATATGTGCAAACTGCAAGAGTTTTTAAAAGGTAGCACTTAATGCAAGGACCATGAAAAACAAAACAAACAAAACAATTAAGTGTTTTAAAGTGAGCACTTGATGAAAAGTAGAGCAGATTTGAAACAGGTTTGATTTTAGGATTGAACTGGCTGACTGGACCCTCTTCAGACCAACAGTGGAGTAACACAGACCTCAGACTAATTATAAATAAACTGATTTAAAACAAAATATAATGGTGGTCCTTTAAATCAAAGGAATATTTTTGGTAATGAATGACTATTATAATAATATGTGGTGCTGCCTTAACACAAAAGTGACGTAAAATACTGTGCCATGTTGGGATGAAAATTATTTTGCCATAAAATAAGATCTACTGCATGTTTCTCTTTCAAACATTTCTGCTCTCTCACAGAAACTAAATGTTTGCGATGGTATTGAACAAATGAGTTGCCTCTTCACACAAGAAATGTCACAACTTGTGCTTTGAGTTCAAGCAGAGAACACTGGGTTAGCAACTCAACATTAACCTGTTTGGGTTTGACTAAACTTGGTCAAAGAGCATTGGAGCGATTTGATGAGAGCCACTTGATAAAATGGCTCAGACAGATTTTTGATTGTTTCTTTCATTAAAATAGACCACAAAAAAAATATCTCCACATTGCTGCAGGTGCATCTGGAAAAGAGACGAGGAGTTCCTGTTTTGGGTTTGAAAGGCAGTCAGCTTCGTTTAAGACCAAGTCCAAGTCCAAACAGATGCACACCATACACCCACACAGAAAACAAACGCCAGAGGACTAGAACTTTGTTCCAAAAAGAATAATAATTAGAACAATGATTATGATGAAGAGGATCAAAATGACCAGCATCTTTCTGTTTTTCTTCTGATATTGCTCCGCCTGCAAAGAACATGTTTGAATGTCAGCTACTTTATAACAGTTGCTTTGCTTCATTAAAGGATTACTTGAATACAACAATTTATGTACTCAAGATTCAAGATAAATATCAATTTACGTATTCAACCATACAAGTGTGTAGAAATGGTTTGTTATACACTGATATGATATAACTATTATATATAATATCAGCTGAAAATGCCCCCCCCCAAAAACATTTATTTTTTTACAATCGGGATTAAAAAGGTTGAACTCATTAAAACAAAAATGTCAAAATGTCAGGTAAAACCCATAATTACAAGTGTCCAAGAGTATTTTGTGTTTACCTTTTGTAACTGTTTCAATCCGTCGTCTGTTTTAACACAAGCCTGCTCCACGTTGAAGTCGATTCTGTCAAGAACGGTGCCCTATTACAGAAATGGAGGAATTTTATTAATGGGAGATCGTTTTTTATTTTAGTTGTAGATGATCTTTCTTTGAAGTGTAACAAATGTGTAGTGTACCACTATAAAACAAACACCACCTGTAGCTTTGGTTTGTTTTCACTTGAAGGTCGGTTCATTTTCAAGTATTTGTCCCTTCAGTTACTTAAATAATTGTAAAATGAAATGGAATTTTAATATGACAATAAGTCTTTTGGGCCTTTTGTTAAAAACTACACATCTGAGAGGACAAAAAAAGCTTTGCTTTTTTTATCTCACTGTTGCTTCAAATACCTGTTCAACTACCATTCCTGCCAAGTCCCGGAAAATCTCATTCAGATCAGAGATGGACTGCACTATTTGTCTGATCTCCTTCTCTCGCTCTTCAACCATGACCGTGTTCTCCTCCATCAGCATCAGCTGGTCATCTGTGAATCCCTGAAACAGAAGAAATAAAAGAATAAAATTAGGTGATTTCATAGAAATACAAAATTCCTACGTTAAAACCACATTTCAGCCAGAGAAAAATAAT